CCCGTCAGCAGCAGGCCCCGTCCCATCAGGAGGACGACAGGACATAGGGTGGATCGAACTCCGCCCCAAACCACGTGCTGATCGTCGCCCTCCTCCTCTTCCTCCTCCTCCTCCTCCTCCTCCTCCGCCTCCTCCCCCCTTACCCTCCGCATCACGTCTCCGTCCTCGCGCGCCACCTCTTCCTCTTTATCAGCATCCTCCTCGTCCTCCTCAGCCTCCTGCTCCTCCTCCTCCTCCTCATATTCCTCCTGACCGTCGTCATCATCAGTGCCACCCTCATCACCCTCATCACCATCACCATCGTCATCATCCTCAGCAGCATCATCATCATCATCATCATCATCATCATCATCATCATCATCATCATCATCAACAGCAGCATCAGCAGCAGCAGCATCATCATCAGCAGCAGCAGCAGCATCATCAACAACAGCATAATCATCATCAACAGCATCATCAGCATCAGCATCAGCATCGTCATCAGCTTCATCAACATCGTCATCATCACCCGCATCAGCATCATCAGCATCAGCAGCATCATCATCAGAGTCATCAACATCGTCAGCATCATCAGCAGTACCCGCAGCAGCAGCATCATCACCAGCATCATCACCAGCACGATCATCATCATCATCACCACCATGAGCCGCAGCATCAGCATCACCAGCATCAGCAGCATCCGCAGCAGCAGCAGCATCATCAGCAGCAGCAGCATCAGCCGCAGCAGCACCACCACCACCAACGCCAACACCACCATCACCGGAACCATCACAACCACCAGCACCACCACCCTTATTAGCAGCAAACTCAGCATCGTCAGCAGCCTTATCATCAGCAGCAGCATTACCATCATCAGCATCACCACCATTATCATCAGCATCAGCATAAGCATCGTCAGCATCACCATCCTCATCATCATCATCATCATCGCCATCGTCAGTGTCCTCAGCATCGTCACCATAATTAGCCTCATCAACCTCATCATCAGCAGCAGCAGCATCATCATCATCAGCAGCATCGTCACCATCATCAACAGTATCACCGCCATCATCATCCAGCTCATCATTCAATCAACCCACCAACCAGCCAAACTACTCCTAGGTAATCGTCCTCACGTTCCTCCTACTCCTCCTCCTTCTTCTCCCTCCTCCTCCTCCTCCTCCTCCTCTTCCTCCTCCTCCTCCTCATCATTCTCCAGCTCCTCCTCCTCCGCCTATGCCTCCTCCTCCTCCTCCGCATCCTCCTCCTCCTATTCCCCCTCCTTCTCCTCATACTCCTCCCCATCCTGTCCTCCTCCTCCTCCTCCTCCTCCTCCGTCTCTTCCTCCTCCTACTCCTCCTCCTCCTCCTCTTCCTCCTCCTCCTCCTCCTCCGCCGCATTCCTCCTCCTCCTCCTCCTCCTCCTCCTCCTCCTCCTCCTTCTCCTCCTCCTCCTCCTCCTCCTCCTCCTCCTCCTCCTCCTCTTCCTCCTCCTCCTGATCCCCCTCCCCCTACTCCTCCTCATCAGCATCTTCTTCTCCCCCTCCGCATGTTCCTCTTCCTCCCCATCAACCTGCTCTCCGTCATCATCGTTGCCGTCGTTGCCACCGGCATCACTATCATCAGCATCAGCAGCAGCATCATCATCATCCTCATCATCAGCAGCAGCATCATCACCACCATCACCATAATGATGATCATTGCCATCATCATCGCCATTCATCGTCACCACCACAATCATCCTCATCAACATCCTAATCATCATCATCATCAGCAGCAACAGCATCATCATCAGCATCATCATCATCATCATCAGCATCATCATCATCATCATCATCAGCATCATCATCATCGTCATCATTCAAATCAGCATCATCATCATCCTCACCATCATCATCACCATCAGCATCATCACCATCTTCATCTTATACATGATCATCAGCAGCATCACCAGCATCATCATCATCAACAACAGCATGGTCGTCATCAGCAGCAGCATCATCAGCAGCAGAATCACCATCATCATCAGCATCATCAGTATCATCATCATCATCATCATCATCATCATCATCAGCATCATCATCATCATCACCATTGTCATCAGCAGCAGCATTAGCAACGCCATCACCATCATCAGCATCAGCAGCATCAGCATCCCCATCATCAGTATCAGCAGCATCATCATCCTGATATGTCACACCATAATCATCATCATAATCATGATCAGCAGCAGCATCGTCATCACCACCATCATCAGCATCATTATCAGCATCATCATCGGCATCATCATCATCCTCATCATCATCATCATCATCATCATCATCAGCATCACCATCATCCTCATCCCCATCACCATCATCAGCATTATCATCACCATCACCATCACCACAATCGTCATCGTCATCAGCATCATCATCGACTGCACAGCATCATCAGCAGAACGCCCATCATCGTCAGCCGCAACATCATCATCAGCATCATCATCAACAGCATCGGAATCATAATCAGCATCATCCTCATCA